TTCTCCCCAAGGACTCAGGCTTCATCACAGCTGGGGGGAGAGGGTCCACCACTCCCTGTTTGTTGCAGTCCCTCCCAGTCCTTCCATGATGGCCTCCCAAGTGATCCTGTCTGGCCTAGGTTGCCCCTCCTCTGAGGGGTCTCACTTGTCTCTTGACCATCCAACCATACTTTGGGGGCAGGGGGATGAAGCAGGGGCAGCATCTGCTGCCAGTGACAAACTTTGTCTCCTCAGTGGCTCGCATTCCAGAGGTCGCACACTCAGCCTTAAACGGTTGCAATTCCTGAAACTAGGCAGAGCAGTTCCCAACAGATAGATACATCTCTTTGGAAAAACATGCTTCCTTTGGTCTTTGAGGATAGGCTTCATTCCTATGTGAAGGACATCAATACTATTTCCTTCAAACCAACAAGTGTTTGTAGAGCCTCAGAAACACTATTTACTGTTAAGTTAGGGATATTTGAAAGGAAAGAGACATTTTCATTATGACACTCCAGATATTAATGGATATTTTACTTATGTTCATCTTAGATATCCTATCCTTAAGTGTTTTTTTTCACTTTGCTCACACAAGAAAGTTCAATGTTTTAATGCTTCCAATATAATTTTACCCAACTTACAGAGAGAAAGTTAAGATTTTACAGGCAAAGAAGCATCCTCATCTGCTGATAGATGTTTGTAATGATACCATTCAATGGTTTTTAAAAAGTAAAGTTAATGTCCTTTGGCTGAGACCTGGAAAAATTGCCAGTCATTCTGAACCATAACCTGGTGAGTCTTACTTAGAGGCAGAACTCTTGACTAGTGATAATGAAAAGGAAGCAACAACAAACTACATAGTCTTTATCTCATTAGCCCTCTCCCATCCTTTTATTACAAGAAATAGGTTGGGCTTAGTTCACTGTTGGTGGAATTGCAGGCTGGTACAACCATTATGGAAAGCAGTATGGAATTTTCTCAGAAAAATAAAAATGGACCTGCCTTTTGACCCAACAATTCCACTGCTAGGATTATATCCTAAGAATCCTAAAACATCAATATCAAAGAACCTACGCACCACAATGTTCATAGAAGCACAATTTACAATAGCCAAGAGTTGGAAGCAACCTAGGTGCCCATCAGTAGATGAATGGATGAAAAAATTGTGGTACATATACACAATGGAATTCTATGCAGCAGAGAGAAAGAAGGAGCTACTACCCTTTGCAACAACATGGATGGAAAGCATTATGCTGAGTGAAATAGACCAGGTGTTGAAAGACAAATACCATATGATCTCACCTTTAACAGGAAGCTAAACAACAAAACAAGCAAGCACGCAGAAAAAAAAACCCCAAAAAACAAAGACACTGAAATAGAGAACAAGGGGACAGTGACCATGGGGAGAGGGAAGGGAAGTTAAGGGGAAAAAGGGGGAAGGATTTGGAGGAACAAATAGGAAGGACACAGGGATGAGAACTAAGGGGGGTGGAAATGGGAGGGAGGTGGGGAGCAAGGGGTGGGGGAGGCTAGAATGGGAGAAATAGACAAAAAAAGTATACTTGAAAAATAACTAAATAAAATTTTAAAAAAAAGAAATAGGTTGGGAGAATTGTAAAAAGAAAGAAAAATGATACTGTCATTTTAAATTCAGTCTTTGACAAAGCATAAAAAATTAATGATACTGATTTTCTCACTAAATTCAGTTAAAACATTTTCTTTCTTTTTTTTATTGTTCAAGTACAGTTGTCTTCCTTACCACCCCATCTTTCCCTCTGACCCTGGCCATCCCCACCTCCCTCTCCTGATTCCATCCCTCTCCCCCTTGGTTTTGCCCATGTGTCCTTTGGAAAAGTAAAATAACATTTTCTGTTCAGGAATTAACTGATGTTGGTCTGTGGAATAAATTTAACATTCACATTAAACTGTCATTACCATATATGTCAATACTGATATACAGATATAGTCCCCAAATAATAGACACAAAAAAAGGATTTATAAGAATTGATCACTATCCTGGCTTCATACTAAAACAGCCTGTTTTAATCCTATTCAGACATTATACAATGTTACCACACTGTATTTAAGAAGCTATACTTGTGATAGAAATTTATAATTTTTAGAGGCAAGATTTCAGATTGTCATGTAAAATATATATTTAGTCCAAAGGAAAATTCTACTGAAGGAATCCTTACCAATGTTGTGTATACTATCTGGCCACAATATGAGAAACAAAAATATGCTTCTACAAGGCAAGTTTCTAGAAAACATCCAGATGGTAACAGAACTAGCGTGTAGGATCCCCACTGCTCCACCATTTGCACCAGGAAACTGTAATGAAAAATGAGTAAGTACATGAATTTGAACTTGTTCTTTTTATCATAAAGAACTTTAATTACTGAAATACTAAATTAATTGCCAGAATAGATCAGTTTTCTATCATGCAGACTAAAAACATTTAGTGTCATAAAGGTTGTTTGATTTTGCCTTGACCTAAGTAAGAGACTATTTCATGCAAGATCCCCATCCAACACCAATACAGTCCACTGAGGTACACTTGCCACTTTTCCTACTCTAACCCCTTTAATTTGCCTTTCCTCCTTCAGAAACAAACTATCCACCTTGTTTTTGAGAAATCATATTTCTTAAACTCAAGATAATCACTAATCTGAAACCTTGGACACCAGATGTATGTTTTATTTTTTTTGAGTTTAGTATAATGATGTGATACATATACTACATAATACATAGTAGCTGGGCAGGGCCTAGGTTAGGTCCCCAAATGAACATATTAATATTGGGTTGGCCAACAAGTTAGTTTAGTTTTTTCCATACAATGGCTCTAGTTGTATTTAACTTCATTAGAAAAAAATTTGTAAGATTGTATTGTGACAGCTGTCATATCAAAATTGTGAACTTTTATGCAGCCATTCTAATATTGAAGATGAAAAAAGATGCAACATTTTCCATGTACCATGCTTTATTATTTCAAAAAAGGTAAAAAGGCAACTGAAATGGAAAAAAAGATTTGTGTAATGTATGGAGAAGGTGCTATGACTGATTGAATCTGTCAAAAGTGGTTTGCGAAGCTTCTTAGTACTATTGATATTTTGGCTAAATTATTTTTTGCTGTGGGGCTGTCTTATTCATTGGAAAATGTTTAGCAGCACCCCTGGCTTCTACCCATTAGAAGCCAACAGCAGGAGATAGCTGACATGCTCAAAATATCCAAATCAGTAAAGTTACTGGTGAAAATGAAAACTGTGTCTTTTATTTTATGGAAAAAAAAAACTACACAGAATTTTTAACCAACCCAATACTTTTGTAGTAAAAGAACTATATTATCACTAAATGGGATAAAGGCTCTAAATAGCTCCATGCCAGTTTAGATATGCTTTTGATACCATACAACTTCAGCACCAAACACAGAAAACCCATTTGATTAATTTTTTGAAAGCTTTTTGGATTTCAGAATTGCAGACAAAAAGATTGTGGGCTGGTAACATGCATAAAGGATTCTTGGGAGGAAAGGCCTTTCCTATAAACTTTATATGAGATGAAGAGAAGTACCCACTCCCCTACTCCTCATACAGCTCTCAATTCTTTTATGACTCCTTATTTTTCAAACATACCAGACACACACATTCTACCTCCTAACACTGGCTTTTCATCTCTGTGGATGGTTTTACTCCTATCCACGCATGGCTCACTCTCTCACCTCCTTAAGGGCTCTGCTGAAATATCACCTCAGCAAGTTATTCCCTGACTACCCTACTTAAAAATTTAAAACTCCTTTCCTTACCAGCAGTCCCTGTCCTCCTCCCAGCTATATCTTTCTCCAAGGTACTTAATACAATTGGACATATGTATTCCACATTTACTTATTCACTTGCTGTCTTTCCCTGAAACTAGACTTAGAATGTTAGTTCCACAAAGATGGGATTTTAGTTTTATTTATTTGTTATTGTATCATCACATTTACAACTATGACTGGAATACAGTACGTACTCAGTACATGGCATCTGTACTCAGTATGTACTCAGTACATGGCATCTGAAAAGAAGAAGAGAGTATTATTTGCTTCTGCATACTTGGAAAAATGTTGAAATTACACCCCGCCCCCACACACACATACACGGGCTTCTAGGTACCAGAGCTAAAGTAATAAAACTAGCCAGGTTGCTTCCAATCTGGGGAGGAGCTGATGCAGAAATGGGAAAATAGGCCATAGGCGAGTCAAGTAAGGCAACTTCAAATGCTAATAAATGCTGTTACATAGTTGAAGGAAAGAAGCAGAATACAGAGTAAGGATTTTAGGCTGGGTGATCAAGAAAGTCCTCTGAGCTGATCCCTGAAAGACAGGCAAAATTCTGGGGAAAAAAGAGCTAGACAGAAGGAATAGCAAATGTAAAAGCCTGAGTGAGGTGTAGGGATAGGCTTGGCATTACAGAAAAGGTTGGGTGGCTAAGGCATAGTGAGCAAGGAGAAAGTGAGGTGAGGATGGAGAAGGAGGTAGGGACCACCTCAAAGGCCACAATAAGGAGTGTGAATACTTCAAGCGGAGTAGCAATGTGAATCAATTTACAAATTGAAGGGATCATTTTTGCTCTGTATGGAGTTGACTGGTAAAAAGGAAAGAGAAGAAACAATACCAGTTAGAAGTCTTTAACAGTGGTCCAGACAAGAGTTAATAGATGACTCAGGTTTTGGGCTCAAGCAAGTGTTTAGTAAAATGGGGAAAGACTAGTATAGAATAAACAAGCTATGTTTATTTGTTTGATTTTGGTTCATGTTTTGAGAAGTTGACAGGGAAGAGGAGTAGGAATAAAGAATTCTGTTAGCTAAGAGAGCTTTGACCTCTGTGAAGAGGTCAGGGTTAGAAAAATAAATTTAGGAATCATCAGCCTATAAAACCCATTAAAGGTTAATAAGAACAGATGAGATACTGTGAGAGAGTTTATATATATGAGAACATTAGTGAACTTAATACAAAGACCACATCAGACTTGTAAGACTCTTAAGAACTAATTTATTTTAAAATAGACAAACTATTAATTGTAGAAAATAGTAACATAGCAGTATTAAATGTGCAGTTTTAAGCAATACAAAAAAGCAATAAAGCTATATCTGGAGCCTTATTTAAGAAATCTTAATATGCTATCTCTGCAATTCCTAAAATTCAGGCATTAATTCTAACATGAACTTACTAGCAAAAGGCTCAGAAATACTGTAAGCACTTGACCTAAAAGCTAACTGATTTGTACAATATTCATGCAAAAATTAATGAGGAAAAGGGGTAAAGCATTCTAGTTCCTTGTTACCAAGATGACTGTAAAAAAAAAGTTTGAAACTTCGAGCACAAAATAAAATTTTGTTTTCTATTAGACCAGATTTCTTTTTACAAAGAGTTTAGACAAAGTGATTTTCCTAAAAGCTTGTTGATGCTGTCTTAAATACCATCTATTTTAAATTATACCATTTCTAAATAAGTTAATCACACAAGATATTTCAAATACACCTTAGGTGCCAGGAGGGAAAGCACCACTTTTACAATGTAGCTATTTTAAAATATTTGCAAAATATTAGAAATATTAATGCCTAACCCAAGGACCTTTGAATACATATTTGAAATTTTGAACTGGAAATAATGTGGCTTTGAATGTGCCAGTGTTAGACCATACTCACTTAAAATCAATAAATGATAGATGGATGCCGGCTCTAAAGATACATGGAAGCCATGTATCATTTCAGAGAACACACACACCTTCCCAAATTAAGAAGAACACTATAATTGCTGATATGCAATTAGGTGAATCTTTAAGAAAAATATTAAGACTCTTATAGTTAACAGTCTTATTTATAGAGTAAAATTACTTTGAATCTTGATTTTTCAGGACCCAGAAACATTACAAAGTATACTTTGTATATACTGTTATTAGGGTCCTCTATAGCAAACCCATAGCTGAACACTTCATCTTCCAAGTACTAGATGGATACTGTATGAATTCAGTAATCTGAATGGTATAAAAACTAAGAATACTATTAATAACCTTAATTTTAAAGCATGAGTTGGGTGAAGAAAAGAATCAAATTCTTAGAAGTCCTGAGGTATGAAATCTGTATCAGTAGTATGACAACATCCTATGTTTATAGTTTGCTTTCTGCTTGTATTTAAAAGCTAAACTTTATAAAACAAACACACAATACATCAGGTTCTATTGGTAAACTAAAACCTAATATGTAAAAATTTGTAATTATTTTCTAGTTTCTAATATCTGTTTTAGATGAAGAATTCAGGATCATTTGGGTAAGGGGCAGTCAGCCAAATTGTATTTGGAAGACAAGATATACTTTCTAAGGGTGTTTATGTTAAATTAAAAAATAAATATAAATTAATAAAAATAATAGCAAATATCACACATATGCCACAAGAGAAAACAAAGTATTCAGACAGGCATGGGTTGTTGGGACTCCCACTCCCAGGCATCCTTTGAAAATAGAAATATCTGCTATAACTTTTTAAATGGCAGGTTTTACACAACATTTTCAATCTTGTACAATAACAACGTATATTCTATCAACTACAGCATTGCAAATGACTTGGGAATCACCTGCACCTGTGCACTTTATATCCAGAGAGAGTTGAAGATAGGTATTAAATGTGGCTGTAAACAGAACCTGGGAGAGTTATACAGTTAGATCTGTGAGATAATGAAGCCAGAGGTGAACACTGCCACCAAAGCCATGCAATCCTCACTTTTCTTCCCTGTTGGAGATATCCATGCTATCATTCATTTTCTGCTTTTGCATTCGTGTTCGAGTAGATGCTGGAAAAAAGATGAAGAACTGTTAATGACACTGATGGCTCTAGTAAGTTGGCAAAGGCTACCATATGTGTTATGCTTATGCTGAATCAGTGGACCTCAGGGCCTTCCAAAAGCAGTGGTTTCCAATTTTTTTTTTAATCAAATATCCTTAGAGTTAAATTTATTCCAAGCATGTGCCACCGAAATATGTACATATATATGAATATGTATATGTGTATAAATTATAGAACACACATACTCCAAATAAACATTAAAGGTAGATGAGATAAAACCAGAAACCCTAGTATTTTCTTATATAACCCAGAAGGTAGTCTTACACACTACCAGGAATGCCCAACTTTGCAGTCCTATAGATAATGAGATGATGGGTTTTGAGTTTGACACTTGAGCAGAGCGGAATCCTGGGCTGGCCCAGAATGATGTGCTGAAATGAGTGATATTCTTGACAAAACTAGCAATTCCCTTTTGTTTAGAGATGGCTTGCAGGTACTGCAAAGACTATCATCTCACAGCTCATTCAGTGTGGAAATGGACATTTAAAATGTACACTATTACATCATAGGCAAGAACAAAACATTTCTTTGTTTTTATTGAATTTATTGGGGAGACATTGGTTAATATATTAGGTCTGTCCAGAAAAAGTCCAGCCATTGTTAATATAACAAGAATGGTTTGCATGACATCTTTGTAACCTGGCAGCCAAGGAGAGTGGACTGGACTGTACATGTGTGAACAATGATGACTTCACCCTAATACTCAGAGGGGGTGGTAGACACTCCTGACTGAGCATGTTTATTTACTGTGTGGCTGTCACACTTAAAATGACTGGGCAAGAAGAGCAATGAATCTGCATCAAATTTTGCTTTAAGCTTGAACATTCCTGAGGGGAAACTATTTGGATGATTTGGAAGGCTGCAGCTGTGGGCAACTAGTGGTTGGCAGCTTTATCATGGCAATGTGCCTGCTCATGCATCACTTCTTGTGCAGAGTTTTTTGGCAAAGCATCCAGTCATCCAGGTAACTCAGCCCTCTTATAGCCCAGATTTGGCACCCTGCAACTTCTGTTTTTTCCCAAAACTAAAATCATTTTCAAAAGGGAAGAAATTTCAGACCATTGATGAGATTCAGGAAAATACAATGGGGCGGCTGATGGAGACTGGGAGAACTATGTGCGGTCCCAAGGTGCCTACTTTGAAGGGAACTGAGGAGTCACTGCCCTATGTACAGTGCTTGTATCCTGTCTCTTCTTCAATAAATGTCTCTATTTTTCATAGGACATGGCTGGATACCTTATGCACAGACCACTTACAGGCTTCAGGTGTACAGTTCTACAACACATCATTTGTATACTGTATTATGTGTTCACCACTGTAAAGTCAAATCTCCTTCCATCATCATTTAACTCTCCTTTCCCTCACAGTTGTCTGTGTCTTTGAGGGTTTATTTATTTTGTATTTTTTGCTTAATCTCTTTCCCTTTTTCTCCTAGTCCCCTGGGAGAAACGCCTACCCCTACCCCTACATTGTCAGAACATTTCTTTTACATTATTTTAAAATTCTAACTTGATTTTAGTGGTGGGCAGGAGCTCTTCATAAAGAAACAAAGAATATTTACACTTGGAAAAGAAAGAAAACAAAAATTCTAAATCTCTCCCTGTGGCCCTTCCTCTCTGAGTAATCTAGCATTATTTGATGATCTTTTTTTGAATGCGGTTCTTTGAGGAAGCTGAAGAGGAGCCTAGAGAATTCCTTAGCTTCACCATTTAAAACTCCTGCTGAATCTCCCCAATTTTCCAGCTACACAAATCCCTGCATTTCAGCTGGGCAGAGGGAATTCACCACTATAGCTAAGTGTGTCCTCAGAAAATGTAGAGGACAGAAAATGTAGAAATGCTGTAGAGAAGGGTTCACTACAGCAACTGAACCCTTCTCTAAGAAAATATGCATGTTTTTACAGCTTTCTGCTCCCTTAATAGTTTATATCTATGGGCTCCATAATGCTTCCATGTGTTTTCAAGGCCTGATTTTGGTAATAAGCTTCATTTCTATCTTCACATACTGGGGTGGAAATGACACAATTATTTAAAAGTTAAAATAGGAGTATTTAGTCAAAATAAAATTCAAAAAGATTCATTTATAACAAAAAAATTTAAACTTTTGGTATATTTAGTTTTTTAAAAAATTTTATTTATTTATCTTTAGAAGGGAAGAGAAGGAGAGAAGGAGAGAAATATCAATGTATGGTTGCTTCTGGTGCATCCCCTGTGGGGAACTGGCCTGCAACCCAGGCATGTGCCCTGACATGGAATCGAACCGCAATCTTTTGGTTCACAGGCCTGTGCTCAATCCACTGACCTACACCAGCCAGGGCAGTATATTTAGGTTTTTTATAAAAGATTTTATTTATTTAGCTTTAGAGGGGAAGGGAAGGAGAGAAGGAGAGAAATATCAATGTATGGTTGCCTCTCATGGGTCCCCTGCTGGAACTGGCCTGCAACCCAAGCATGTGCCCTGACTGGGAATCAAACCACAATACTCTGGTTCGCAGGCCCACGCTCAATCCACTGAGCTATACCAGCCAGGGGTATATTTAGTTTTAATTGAAAAATTCAAACTAATGCACATAGGAAAAATGATTTAAAAAATCAAAATCATTCTTTTAAATTCTTTATATTTCAAAGTTAATGTCTACAGAGATGTTAAAAGAAAGCCTCTTTTTCAAAGGCCACACTTTAATTGATAATTTACTTATTGACATGTCCTATAACGTAGGAATCACAGTTTTAATACTACACTCATTTATGTTTGTCTTCTTTCCAAGTCCTAGCTCTTTATCCTATTAATGGATCTCACACCACACTATCATGAAATGTCACACTCACTATCATAACTACCTCTCTCTCTAAGACAACCTTGTAGCAGTTAGCACATGTTTATCTTTTTGTTGATGCACTTTCCACCTACTATACCTGGGTTATTCTTTTATAGTGTTAAGAGTAACTTAGGCTGGAATTCCATTTGCTTTAACATTTATATCCAAATTTATATCACTGTATAACTTCAAAAATGATCAGTGGTGGTTTTTATCAAAATTCTGATTTCCAGTAATGGAGAACTTCTGTTTTAAAGTTTGAAATCTTGCAAGTTAGGAAAGTTCAATAATAATTAGCAGAATAGAAGATTATTCTTTAAATAAGGGTTATGATGTTTATATATGCTAAGTTTGTAAAACCTTTCCTTATACCCAACACTCAAGTTCCTCATTAAAGTTCTGCTTCTAACCAAAGCCATTAATGCTCAACAAGTGGTTTTACTTCTAAGTGTTTCTCCACAAAAGATTTTAGAAAGGGTCAAGATGACCCTCACTTTGCATGATACATTTAAACTACAAATGTTTGTGCATGTAAATAATACATTCTTGATTAAATTATACTTTAAATGCATGAGCAAGTCCACTAATAGAAGGAATTATATGTAGTTATTCTTTTCTAATGTGAGAAGTTCTTTTGCAATGTAAACAATTTCATTTACATAAGGTGAAATGGTAAGTACTTACTCATTTCTGCCAGTTTCTGTTGAAATTTGGACTCGCCTGGGAGATGTTTGCTGCAGATGAAAAAATGCAAAATATTTCATATGTACTTCTACAATTAATATGTATAAATAGAAAAATCAAATTCCCAATAACTATAGTGTTTTACATGACTTATTTTATACTCTTATTTTAGTGAGTAGCTTTTAATTTCAAAGGTTTATAAACAAACCATCTAAAATATAAATGTCACAAATTTATGATCATATATAGTTTTTCAGTGGTCTTATAAAACACAATAGCTGATATTTCTTAAGAGTAAGTACTTTAAAATCTAATGTTAATCAAAAGTAAAATTTTATTAATATTTTATAAAAAATGATCAGATTTTAAACATGATATTTTGGTGCTTTTAACTCTTTGGATACAACCAAACCTACTGTGTAATCCTAACAATTTTTAAATAAAACTGGCATGAAAGGGGTTGGTGGAAGTTAAAAGGAGAGCTGACACTCTGAGTTCTCCAGATTACCAGTTCATCTACTGAGAAACATTCTGAAACTGCTCCTACCTTCCATCTGCTTCATCTGATCCTTCAATATCAAAGCGCAGTTTTTTTAGTGGTTTAGGAGGGTTGCTTCCTTCTGCACTTCTTTTGAGCACATGGTCACTGTTACACACCATCTGATTTATTTTCTGGAACTTCTCAGAAGTCTATGAATTACAGAATTCTGTATTTATTTTTTAAATACAAACATTTGGTAGTTACCAACTCTTAATTGTAGTTTGAAGTATGTAAAAAATCAGGCAGAGGTAATATCTACATCTGAACTTTTTGATTTACTGTACCAAGTGAGACAAATGAAGAACCTCAAAATCAGAGTAACAATTTACCCAATTAAATACCCACTCTTTTTAACTCTTCCTGTCTCTTTCCATGAGATGTTTCTACCAACAACACTGACTACTATTGTGAAAGTCCTAGCTCCTCAGTTTCAGAACACGCCCACACACCAAACCTGGGCTACCTCTTTCTCAGAAGCATATAAAGTTGAAACAGCTTTCTGGACCAAAGTTTTTGTCATATTTTTTTTTCTTGAGGGCAAACATAACCAGAGGAAGTAAGAATTTAATGAGATGAAGTGTCCAGTGAAGAATAATCTCACTTTTGGGGTACTATGTTGACAAGTTATATAGTTTGTATATTCTAAACTATCATTGATAACAGTATTTGTTGAAATGCTGCTAATTCATAAAGTTTTTAAAATAAAAAAATCAAATATCAAAAAGACTTAAGAATTTGAGTTCATCTATTATTACTGGAGATGGTTTGAGAGCTAATCTCCTAAAGGAGAATCCTGTCACAGCAAAGAATGTTTTGTTAAGAAATACCAAAGGAGGGGACAATACCTTATTTTATGCAAAGGAGAAACATGTAGAAAAATTCTATTTCTTATCTATATATTTCAGAAACAGAGTGAGGTGAATGAACATGTTCACTTGAACTAAAAAATGAGACCAGCCTTTCTGATAAAAATTAAATCTGAATGGGGATGGAAAGAGACTTGACTTGGGGTGGTGAACACACAATACAGGGTACAGATGATGTGCTGTGGAATTGTGCACCTGAAACCTATATAATTTTGTTAAGGAGTGTCACCCCAATAAATTCAGTAACAAGGAAAAAATAGTGGAAAAAAACTAAATCTGATTTGACTGATTGATTTCACAGTGAGGAATAGCTTTGCTGATTATGCTTTATTTTCCAGAAAATTAAATGCTAAAACAGGTTCTGATAGAAAATATGTTTACAGCACATTTATGTGACAGAAAGTAAATCCTGTGCACTCATTAAATTTATGATGATTTTTAGTTATTAGCTTTAAAATATGGAAGTATATATAATAACATATTATCAGTTCTCTTAAAGGTTATGGGAAGCAGGAAAGTATGACACACCTATTCTCTACATCTCCAGATCCAACTACACTTATGCCTGTGAGCTCGTTTGTGTAGCCTGACAGCTGTAGCCTACCCTGAGCTACATGTCACAGCACTGTATGGTTTGTAATATATGTCTTAACACCTGGTCTTTTAGTATCCAAACTTTTATCTTTCTCTAGTTATTTTACTTGGGGAAGTATGACAGACAGACTCTAGAATGGCTCTTACTAATCCCCAGCTCCTAGTGTTTACACCCTTGTGTTATTGTTCTCTCCTTGAATGTAGGTTTGTCTTGGAATGTCACTTCCAATATTAGTGACCAAAAGACTGTGACTTCCATCTTGCTCATTATTTCCTTTCCTTCCCTTCCTCTCTTAAACTTCCTACTCCAGCGAAAGCAAGCTGCTTTGGTATAAATAGAGTAGCCCTATGGAGAACCTCAAGTGGCAAGGTACTGATGGCTTGGGCAGATAGCCATGAAGGATCAGCCAGCAGCCACACAAATGAATTTGCAAGAAATCCTCTTCCATTTGAGCCTTGAGATAACTGCAGCCCCAGCTGATAGGTTGATATATATATATGAATGTATGTACACACACATACATGCACTACATAATCTCAAAGGTGTTTATAAAACATCTGACTTTGACTCTGATATGTATATTTTCTAAATTCTATGGAACACGCTTGGGATGGGTATTTAAATAACAGCACTTGTAAATTCAAATTATAGAACCCTTTAATTTCTTTTTATAGTTACAGCGCATGCATGTCACTGTATTTCATAGAAAGAAAATACTCACCCCAAATGATTCACCAATGGATACTAAGATTCTGTCAAGTTAAGAAAAAAATACAAATTAGTAATAAAAATCATATACAACTTTGCAGAGATGAACATACACTCAGCATGGTGAATTATCAGAAATACAAACTCAAGGGTTTCACTTACCCTTAGAACCATTGATAAATCATAGTCATTAAAGGCTTGATCTAACAGTACTAGTCTAGTCATATACTGAGCTGGTCTCTTAGATTTTTAAAGCAAAAACTCTATGTCTGCAAGAGCATATTTTGCCTTTGTCCACATTTAAAGAGAGTAAAAGAAAATGTTAAGTTTATGCCTACTTAATTCTTCATAAACCAATGGGTAAGCTATCAATTACAATTTCTTTCATATTTTTCATTAAAAATTCATGATATTAAGCAATAATCAATTCTAATTAGGATATATATTGATATATAGAATAAAGGCTAGTTATCCTATATCCTAGAATCAGAAATCTCTATTAGTCTGTTTGGCCTTGTTTGAACTATATAATACATGATTTTGATGATAAAGCTGAAGAAGAACATTAGCTGACAAAACAAAGATTTGATGATATACACATATAACAGATATACAGATTTTATTGTCCTCCAATTCCTTGATAAGTAGCTATCAATCTCTACATATTTGATTAACCAGAATACCTAAATATGCTAGATAAGCAGAGTGATAACAATCTAGTGAACAAACTGAACTAATAAGCAAAATAGAGGCAAATTCATAGAGAGCAGGCTGACCCCTCTGGTGGGAGGCAGGGTTGCTTGGGGGTGGAGGGATCAAGTGAAAAAGAAAAAGGACTCATGAGCATGGACAACAGTGTGGTGATTACGGTGTGGGTGGGTGAAGGTGGAAGAGAGTGTAAGGGGGATAGATGGTACTGGAAAAAATACAATAAAAAATCAACTGCTAAACAAAACATGCTGTCTTAATGCTTGATCAATTCCTGATTTATCAGGAATTTCATGTGACTTTTCTGCTAATAAAGGACCCCTGCTAACACAGAAGTGATTTTCACTAGGATCAGCAAATAGCCATTATTATCAGCACAATATAGATTAAATATCATTATTAAAAGTTTACTCTGGGGTACATTTTCATGTTGAAATGTGGGACTGTATAAATTAAATAGACATGGTATGGCATCTTACCAGCTTATAATGTAAGTTGTAGATTTTAGTACATAGTTACTAAAAAAATAAACAAAGGATGGTATGATGAGACACAAGACCATTTATATCATTTGCCAATTATTTTCTATTTTATCTTTTCCTGTGGAGTTTTAAGTTGTATGATGAGTAAGCACACCACACAAATATTAATATTTTCTAAGGAGTTAATATCTTCCCTCTCCTTGTCTTCTTTTCTTGCTAAGTACAACTGTATGGGCTGACAATTTCTGAGATGAGATTACATTAAGTATTCTTGCTAATCTGCCTCCCACTTTATATAATAGTCAGTTTCAAATAGGCCATGGCACTTCAAAGCCAGAAAGCAGTTGTGGTTGGACATGAAATATAATATAATGATTTATAGCTGCATAGAATCTTTCTTTCTTTTAAAGACTTTATTTTTAGAGAGAGGGCAAAGGAGGGAGGAAAGAGAGAGAGAGAAAAACAATCATGTGTGAGAGATACATCCATCGGTTGCCTCTCATATGCACCCATTTGGTGAACAGCCTACAACCCAGTCATGTGCCCTGACTGGGAATTGACCGGCCACCTTTCAGTTCACAGGCCAGTGCTCGTTCCACACAGCAACACCAGCCAGGGCCATAATCTTTCATCTTAACATTTAAAATTGCTTCATTATCATTATATCCCTGATCTATAACACCTTTCTGAGGTGGACACAGAGAACTGCCCATGCTGATAATAAGGAAGCCACAGGAAATTAGGGATGAACTTCTAAAGACTTAGTCATCTACCTTTAATCAGCCATCCACAATTTATAGTAGCAAGAAGAACAATTCCACAGAAGAGTTTACAGGACATTTAATAAACTACAGAATAAAAAATACTAACCAAAAGTAATCTCTTTGTTTAGTAGCCTGGCTAACAAAAATATGATTTGAAACCTATTACCAACTGGTTCTCAGACTGTTTAAAAAAAAAACAGACCCCAGCATCCAGAAAAGTTGATGACTAAATTTGCAAACCTACCTAACTAAGCAAATGATCTTTCTTTCCTCACAAATTATTATCATGTCACTTAATATAAATAAGCCAATTAGGGATGCCAGAATATAGCTTATTTTAAATGAAGAAAGCTTTATGATTTTATGCTTGAATCAAAATAATCCCCTCTTATTTCTTAGCACTTCTTTAAAGATAAAACACAAACCTTGATCTTGGAGTCATTTTTGTTGGTGTTGGCAAACCGTCTGAAATCTTACATGGATTCTTCAGGGGTGATATATAGATGTTTCCTCCAGGAACCCGTAAAGGTGAACTGGAAAACTTGTAGGGGCTTCGAGGAATGTGAGGTATGGGTGACAAAGTAGGGGGCTAGAGCAAAAGCAGAGGCAGATTATTTATTTAATGTCTTAGTGAGATCTGTTGTTTTATAATTAGATTTTTCCAAACAAAGGACACTTTTAACATACCCTGGTGGAAGCATACTGCAAAATATTTGTTTTCAGTCTCTGCATAAAGACTGAGTTATAGAATACTATAATAGAATCATATTCCTCTTCTCTGATCAAAACCCGTTTGAATGTCTGAGGAAGAAGAATAAAAATACTTGTTAAATGAATTTGGGAGTTTATGTTTAGATTTTGTCTTTTTTTAATAGTTCATAATACTTTTCAACAGTAAGAAACACATATCATACAGAAAAAAATAATCTGAAAATGCTTTCTTAGGCTTGGGTTATTGCAGCGGTATAGTATTCCTTATTCACTAGATAATATAAATTTGTGTATTAAAAAGCATTAATTTTCCAATTCTATTTTAGTTACAAATAACTAACCACTAATATAAAAGTAAAAAATTAATATGTGAATTTATATAAGGTTAGACTATATGATCTAATTAATGACTGAAGTTACCGACATTACAGATATGGATATAACCCCCAAAATTATTACCATGGACAATTACTTACCTCCTGAACAGCATGAGGGAGTTCCTTATAAGCTGTTACAATGATTTTGAATTTAAGGTCTATATTCTTTACTTTGCATATGCCATACATGGAACACATCATAATCTAATAAATAAATGTAATGTGAAAATAGTCAGAATTTTGTAACATGGGCATGTTCTAAAAAGCACTTATCTTTCTTTTTACCTTAACATAGAAATTCAATTTCCTAAAGAATTATCTTTTCCCATCCTGAGCTCAGTTTGAAAGTCTATGTGAAGTATTTAACCCCAATTCTATTTAAAGAACTATGTGAATTGTAAATTCTATGTAAACAGTCAACCCTTGATCATGTGGTTTGTGAATAATCCTAACTTTTGCTCCCATCCCTTAGATATTGCCCAGAAGATAGATGAAACTGGAATCAGTTAGCTGTGTAACTAGCACTTTAAAAAAAAGCCAGTGTGAAAAGGATCAAACTATTAGATAAAATAATATTCATACATTTGATGGTAGTGGTAAGGGAGATGTAATAATAAAAGGGGATCAGAGAGACTCTTGTACTGTTGATAATGTTCTGTTTTTTCCAAGATCAGGGGAGATCAAGAGCATTCAGGGTGGTGTGGCCGTATATAATGTTCTGTTTCTTTATTTGGATGCTATATATATGGGTGAGTTCAGGTGATGAATTTACATTAAGGTGCACCCTTAAGATATATGGATTTTTCTATATGCATCTTACATTTCAAATAATATTTTTAAATGCAAAAACAAGACTTTAAATGATTCCCTGTGACATTAAAACATCAAACTTTCTTAATTTGTATGAATTTTATTACCTAGTTCATATTTTCTGAAACATTCTTGCTCACATCTACTATTGCTAACAATTCCTATGCATGCATCCTACCAGCCCCAATCCTCCTATTCCTGCCATTTAGAAGGCCATTCTGTATTCTCTTTGCTAATTCACATTTTATTTCTACTCCAACACTTTACCTAAGGCACCTCTCACAAAAATGTTTTTGATTCCAGAAAGCTAATTTCTTTGGAAATCCTTAGCCCTACAGTAAGGCAGTAGAAACAAAAGGCAATAAATGTCTACTTTAAAAAATCCAATATATTAGAATTTATACATCCAAATATCTGGTAAAATATACATATTTTTAGGTTTTACACAATAATTCACCTTTTGCTAAAAAACTTTTACTGGGAACATTACTATCAACCTTACTGCCAGAAATAAAAGGATTATAAGGGAATATTATGAATAATTATATTAAACATACAGATACCTAAGACAAAATAGAAAAATTTATAGAAGAACACAAACTACCAAAACTGACTCAAGAAGATCTAAGCTTGAATTAGCAATAAAAAATTTTCCACAAACAAAAGCCCAAACCCAGATGGCTTCACTGGTGAATTCACTGGTTAATTCTACCAATTGATATTGAAGAATAAATATCAATTCTTCACAAACTGTTCCAAAAGTAGAGAGGAGGGGACACTACCAACTAAGTCTATGAGGCTATTAGTTCTCTGATACCAAAGCCATACATCATAAGAAAATTGTTAACATCTCTATGATTACAAATATAAAAAATTTCAATAAAAGCAAGTTGAATTCAGCAGCATTGTTGATATACTGTGACTAAATGGGATTCATTCTAGAAAGGAAAGGCTGGTTTAACATTTAAAATTCAACTAATGTAATAATATCCTAGGTATCAATACAAGAAGAAAAACATTTATCATTTCAATAGATACAGAAAAAATTACAAAATTCAACATACTTTCATGATAAAAGCACTCAATAAACTAGAAATAGAAAAAAACTCCTTGACATGATAAAGGGCATATATAAAAAAACACTGTGGCTAACAACAGATTTAATGTTTCATTAATAATGAATGCCTTCCCCAAAGATCAGAAACAAAAAGAGGGTGTCGTCCCTTCTCACCACTTCATTCAGCACTGTATTGGGAGCTCTAACCAAGGCAATTTAGTACATAAATAAAATGAAAGACTAGTAGATTGAAAAGGAAGAAGTAAAATGATCTCTATTCACAGAAGACATGATTCCAATATTGAAATCTTAAGGAATCCACCAAAAATTATTAGAACTTATAAACAACTTTGGCAAGGTTGTAAAATAGAAGATCAATATACAAAAATCAATTGTATCTCAATACACTTGTAATGAACAATCTGAAAAAGAAAGTAAGGAACCAATTCTATTTACAGTAGTGTTAAAAAAAAAACCCAAAATACTTAGGGATAAATTTAACAAAAGAAGTGTAAGACTTGTACTCTAAAAAATTTTAAAAAACATTGTTGAAAGAAATTAGGGAAGATTTAAATATATGGAAATACATCACATATTAATGGACTGCAAGACAATGTTGTTTTTGACAGTACTCCTCAGACTGACCTATGATTCAGTGCAATCCCTATCAAAACTCCAGCTGGCTTCTTTGTAGAAATTGACAAGCCAGTCCAAAAATTCATATAAAAATGCAAGCTTCAGAACAGTCAAACCAATCTTGTAAAAGAGCAAAATTAGAGCACTCACACTTCCCTATTTCAAAACTTACTAAAAAGCTGCAGTAATCAAGACAGTGTTGTAGTGGCATAAGAAGGGACATATAGATCAATGAAACAGAAGAGACCAGAAATAAACATTTACAGACTTATGGTTAATTGATTTTTCAACAACTCTCAACAGTGAAAGAAAAGATTTTTCAAGTTATAGTACTGGAACAACAGGTATCCAAGTACAAAAGAGTAAAGTTGGATTCCTAACTCCCACCATATACAAAAATTTACACAAAATGGAACAAAATCTCAATGTAAGAGAAAATTAGGGATAAATCTTCATGACCTCTGATTTGGCAATGGTTTAATAAATATGACACCAAAAGCACCAGTAACAAAAAAAATATAGAACACCATCAGAATTAAACTGAACACCAACAGAATTAAAAACTTTTGTGCTTCAAAGGATACCATCAAGAAAGTGAAAAGACAACTCAGAGAATGGGAGAAAATATTTGCAAGTGACATATCTAATAAGGGACTTGTATGTAGAATACATAAAGAACCTTTACAACTCAATAATAAAAATACAACTCAATTTAAAAATACACAAAGGATATTTCTCCACTGAAGATATTCAAATGTCCAATAAGCACATGAAAAGATTATTAATCAACATCATTAGCTATAAAGGAAATGTAAATAAAAGAGACAGCTACTTCATATCCACTAGGATGCTTATATTAAAAAAAGGCAAATAGGTTGATAAGGATGTGGAGAAACTGCAACCTCATATGTGGCTGGTAGAAACATAAAATGGTATAGCCATGTTGGAAAGTAATCTGGTCATTCCTCAGAAGGTTAAACATAGAGTTACCATATGACCCAGAAATTCCATGCCTAGGTAAATACCCAGGAGAAATGAAAACATATGTCCACATAAAAACTTGTACATGAATGCTGATAGTAACATTACTTACAATAGCCAAAAAGTAAAAACCAAATGTACACCAACTGATGAAAAGATAAACATGATATATCCACACAATGGATTATTTGGCAATAAAAAGGAATGAAATACTGATAAAAGCTATAACACAGATGAACAATGTACTTAGAACAATGAAACACTGTATTAAGTGAAAGAAGCCCGACACAAAGGATAACATATTATATGATTCAATTTGTAAGAACTGTCCAAAATAAGCAAATCTATACAGATAGAAAGTAGATTATTGTTGCCTGGAGCTGGAGATGGTGGGATATAGGAGGGTGAGTGCCAAAGGGTATGAGGGTTTCTTTTTTGATGTGATGAAAACAAAATGTTTTAAAATTGACTTTGGTAATGGCTGTACAACTTTGTGAATATACTAAAAACCAGTGAACTATACAACTTTATAAGGGTATGGCATATGATATCTCAATTAATCTGTTAACAAAAGAATATTCTTATTATCCTGTTTACAGAGAGGAAAAAGAAACATACGAGAGAATGTTCTCTGTAAATTAACTCATTCATTTGTTAGTTCATTCAGTCATTCAATAGGCACTGTTTTATATCAGTTGGTTCTTAAGTCTCCTGCTTTTTGCAATGCTAGAAATAAAATCTAGTTTATCACAACATAGAATAACCTATGACAAACAATGTCTTCAGTAATTTTATAAGATCTTTCACTTTATTAAGTAAGTAGAGTTACTGAAATACTCCCAGGCTCTTATTTGTAAGAATAACAGCAAAAATATAAAATATAGCCAAAAAGTAAATATATATTAAGTCTACAAACTGATCTAGTTTATTTGAATTTGATCTTTTCTTAAGATGTCCCCAGAAGCTCTCTAAAAAAGGTAGCAGCTTCCCAAATGCCTGTTCCCATCAGTAGCATTCTTAAGGTGCCTGTTGACTTAGCATTTTGCGAAGTTCTAGACCCCAGAGCACCAGGGCTGGCTGCCAAGGAAACTGCTCGTAGCAAGCTACCAATGGGCAAAAAGGCTACTCTTCAAAGGCCCTTGCTCAAACCTGTGAAATAGGTTGTTTGAACTTCAGCACTGGACAGACTTGTATAAAAATAAAATCCTTACAGCCAATAAAAATGTGTGTGCCAACTCTAAGCTGGTAAATACTTTCTTAAATAATGCCTGATTCTGTTAAAATGCCCTTCAATTACATATTATCATATACGTTTTATTGACATAATAGATAAGAAAAATGTAGAGTTCAGAAATCACTCAGATATATCCACTGGATCACCAAACTGTATCCCACATCTGTACTAAGGCAGTGAATTTCACCCCACCTCATATCATTTCACTTGAGCCATATCCTTCTAGGGCACCCTAAAGTAAGGCACAGAACACTGATTCTCTGATGACTTAGAGTGACATTTCAGTTCCCAAAAGAGTCCTCTCAGGACTGATGTATCCAAAAGTAGGTAACCAGGAAACTGACAAACTGAACTTCACAGTTTGCAGCACAATTATGAGGAACAGATACTTCTAGTTGTCGAGGTAGTATCCCTTTTCCCTTTCCTCATAACTTAGGATATCCACTTTTTTACCTTAAAAAAAGAAAATTAAAAGCAAAAATAAATCAATGGGACTATATAAAACTAAGAAGCTTCTGTACAGCAAAAGAAAACAACAACAAAACAAAAAGGCAATCAACAGAAGAAGATATTTGCAAACAATATCTCCAAACAGGAGTTAATATTCAAAATATATAAAGAACTCATATAACTCAACAATAAAAAATAAAAAATTCAATTGAAAAAAGAGCAGAGGATATAAACAGACACTTCTCTGAAGAAGACATACAAATGGCCAAAAAACATGAAAAGATGCTCAACTTCACTAGCCATATGCAAATCAAAACTACAATGAGATACCACCTCACACCTGTTAGAAAAGCTGTTATCAACAATACAGGTAATAACAAGTGTTGGAAAGGTTGTACAGAAAAAGGAACCCTCATTCACTGCTTGTGAGAAGGTAAACTAGTATAGTCAACCTGGAAAACTGCATTGAGTGTCCTGAAAAAAAAGTTACCATATGATGCAGCAATCCCTTTTCTGGATATCTACCCCCAAAATTTGGAAACATTTATTCATAAAGATATATGCACCCCTATGTTCACTGCAATATTATTCATAATGGCCAAAGCATGAAAACAACCAAAGTGTCCTGAAGATGACTGGATAAGGAAGATGTGGTACATGTACAATGGAATACTATTCACCCATAAGAAAAGATGAAATACTATCATTTGTGACAACACAGATGAATCTTGAGAATATCCTGCTAAGTGAAATAGGTCAGAGGGAAAAAGTCAAGAACCATATGATGTCACTCATCTATGGGATATAAAAGTGAACCTCATAGACACAGACAACAGTAAAGGGATTACTAGAGGGAAAGAGTGGTGGGAAAAATGTAGAAAAGGGTAAAAGGAATCAAATAAATGGTGACAGAAGGTGATTTGACTTTGGGTGAGAAACACACTATACAATATACAGATGATGTATTATAAAATTGTACGTTTAAAACCTGTATCACTTTATAAACCAATGTCACCCCAATAAATTTAATAAAATTTTTTAAAAAGAAAAAATCATAAGTAGTTAACAAATAAGTAGAAGAAGAGAAGGTGAAGTGTATTCTTTTCTTACCTGGTCCAAATGCCTATCTCTCATGAGTTCATACTCATTTTGCAGTGTGTGCTGGAAAAGAGTCCAGATGATATGTTCTAGTTCTGGGTGGTCAGACAGAAGACGTGCACACAGGGTATTTAGTCGAAGATATGCTAGTCGGTACACTTGGAGAGACAAGGAGAATGAGTTAGGTGTACCGTTCATTTTGAATTACCAGTGCATTTTTCCCCAAAATATTAAATAGCTACAACCATAATGTTGTTAAATAGAATTTTAACAATAACCTAATTTCTACCAATATTTTCCTTATGAATAAATTATTACTAGTCTTACCATAGTGCTAGGTACATAAAAGGCAAAAATAATACTTGATGAATTAATTATTGCACCATAAAACTGAGGCAGAGTGGAAGATGAAGGAAGACAGATCATAAGATATTATTAAATTAGACAACACGCATAGGGTTTGTTTCAGTTCTGTTGGTAACCACTCATCACAGATATTAGAAATTCTCACTCTCAGTATTCAAGAAGGAACGTTTTAAAAAAAATAATGGAATTTTCAGTGTTTTAATTTTTCCATTCTTAAAAACAAAAAACAAAGTGCATTTCTCTACTAAATGCCAATGGCACATACTCTGTTGAGAAATAGTAGGAACGTACCACTAATGGGTAATGTGGCTGTGATAGAAACCTTAAGGATCTAAGCAGTATTTAAAAATAGTACTGGAATACAGGTTTGGAGAAAAGGATTTCACAAAATTGAATTTTCTTCCATTTAACTATGAATACAGTTGGTTTAAATATAACTTTAAAAGACTTCCATAGGTGAGGAATCCAAGGTGGTGGTGGAGTAAATGGAAGCTACACTAATTTCCTCCCAAGATCAATCTGGAACTGGAACTAAATTGTAGAGATATCATCCAGAATAAGCAACTAAACCCTAGCTGGAGAGAAGCCTTATAACCACCGATAGGCAGGAAAACCCACTTCATCACAATAAGACTGGTAGGCAGTGCACAGGAGACATGAAAGGGCTGTCTGGGCTCCCAAGGGGGGCAGGTGGAGTGCAGAAGGGATATTTCATCAGGTAGGGGATTCCCTCTGAGAAGGGTGGGCTCTAAACTCCAACCTGGGCTCCCCAGCCTATAGCATCAGAGGTGGAAGGAAACCAAGATAACACCCAGCTGTGAAAAGCAGGAAGGTTTCTGTTTGCCAGGGAGAGACAGATGGAGATGCAGAGAGCCTCTTAACAAGCCAATGCACAAAACTTCATTGTAGCCACTTACCCTGGGCTCCAGCAGAGGGAGGGCAGAGTGGACTAGGATTGCTTGAGGAGAGTCTGGGGTTGGTGGCTTGGGGAGACTACCGAAGGAACAGCTGCCAGGATCCCTATACCGAGTCATCCCCTGTACTGCAGGAGCCATTACTTTTAGGCAGACCACTCTTCTCTGAATGGCACTGCCCAAGGGGACACAAAACCCCTGCCCTCAGAAATTATTTTGCCCAACCCCCAGGGTGTTTAAGCCTGACTGCTTGATTAGATTAACACCTGATTGGCTAAGTGGCTGATTAGTTTAACAAAGCAGCCAAAGTGGGAAGACAAAGAAACAGACCCCAAATGAAAGAAAGAACAAGTGAATTAACCAAAAAAACTAGATGCAATGGAGGCAAGCAATTTAACAGAAAGAGAGTTCAGAGTAATGGTTATAAAGATAGCTAACAGTGTAAAAAAGACATAGAAACCATAATATAGGAACAGTCAGAAATAAAGAATGCAATAGCTGGAAAAAAATACACTTGAAGGAATAAACAGTAGGGTAGATGAAGCAGAGGACAGAATCAGTTTTGGATGACAAGATAGGAAAAAAGCACCCAGACAGAGAGAAAAAAAAATTAAAAGAATGAGGAGAGCTTAAGAAACATTTTGGACCATGCAAAAGCCAACAACATCAGCATCATGGGAATACCAGAAGGGAAAGAGAGTAAGCAAGGGATGGAGAACTGATCTGAAGAAATAATGACTGAAAACTTTCCTAATCCGGTGCAGGAAAAAGTCACAAAAGTCAAGGAAGATCAGAGAGTCCTAAACAAGTTGGCCTCAAAGAGGCCTACATTGAGACACATCATAATTAAAATGACAAGGCTGAAAGACAAGGAGAGAATCCTAAAAGCTGCGAGAAAAAAGCAGGGAGTTACCTACAACAGACCACCAATTAGACCGGCATCTGAACTCAACAGAAACATTTCAGGCCAGTAGGGAGTGATGTGAATATTCAAAGTGATGAAAAGCAAGGACCTACAACTAAGGCTACATTAACCAGTAAGGCTATCATTTAAGATCGAAGGAGAAATAAGGAGCTTCTCAGACAAGTAAAGGCTAAAGGAGTTTGTTAACACCAAACCAGTGCTGAAACAAAGGTTAGAGGGCTTGCTTTAAGAAGAAGAAAAAAAAAAAAAAAAGAGAAAAAGAAAAAAAGAGGAAAACAATATAACAATAAAATGTCACTATATACCTATCAATAATCACCTTAAATGTAAATGGCTTAAATGCTCCAACCAAAAGACAGAGGGTAGCTGAATGAAAAAGAAAATAAGATCCATATATACACTGCCTCCAAGAGACCTATCTCAAATCAAAAGATGCACACAGACTAAAAGTAAAGGGTATGGAATATAAAGATATTCCATACAAATGGAAAGAAAAAAAGTTGGGATAGCAGTACTTACATCTGACAAAAAAGACTTTCAAACCAAGGATGCAATAAGAGACAAAGAAGGACACTACATAACGATAAAGGAAACAATCCAACAAGAGGAATATAACCTTAATAAACCTTTAGGCACACAATATAGGAGCACCCAAATATGTGAAGCAAATGTTTTGGGTTTTTTTTGCATTCTATGTATATATTGATTCAGGCAAATTGACATCTTTTCAACACTAAGTTTCCCAATCATGGATAAGAGATTTAAGTTTTAAGATTTTTAAAGACATTCAGTTCACAATTTTGCATGTTTTTCCCCAGCAAATATTGATGGATGTAGAGATTGAGATTAATACAGTCATAGCTGGGGATTTTAACACCCCAGTAACTTCAATGGGTATATCTTCCAGGTAGAAAATCAACAAAGAGACAGAAGATTTAAATGACACAACTAGATCAAATAGATTTAACTGATATCTTCAGAGCATTTCACCCCAAAGCAGCAGACTATATATACTTTTTAAGTGCACATACAGAAAGACTCTCAATAAATTTAAGAAGATTAAAATCATATTAAGCATCTTCTCTAATCATAATGGTATGAAAACTAGGAATCAATCACAAGAAGAACACTGAAAAATACACGAAAGACATGGAAGCTAAGTAACATGTTATGAAAAAATGAATGGGTCAACAATGAGATTAAGAAGAAATTGAAAGATACTTTGAAACAAATGAAAATGAGGTCATAAGAATCCAAAATCCGTGGGACACTGGGAAAGCAATCCTAAGAGGGAAATTCATAGCATGACAGGCCTATCTCAAAAAAAAAAAAAACAAAACCCAAGAAAAAGCCCAAATAAACAATATAACTTTACACTTAAAGGAACTTGAAAAAGAACAACAAACAAAGCCCAAAGTGAGTAGAAGAAAGGAAATAATAAAGATTACAGCAGAAATAAACAAAATAGACTCTAAAAAAATACAAAAGACAAATGTACCCAAGATCTGGTCTTCTGAATATAAACAAGATGGATAAAACTTTAACTATATTTATCAAAAAGAAAAGAGTAAGGATCAGAAGTGAAAGAGGAGAAATAACAACTGACATGAAAGAAATACAAAGCATTGTAAGAAAATATTATAAACAACTATATGCCAAAAAACTGGACAACCTGGATGAAATGGATAAGTTCTTAGAAACATACAATTTCCAAAAACAAATCAGAAAGCTGAGAGAGTCTGAACAGACAGACTGCACCTAGTGAACTGAAGCAGTAGTAAAAAAACTCCCAACAAACAAAAGCCCTAGACCAAATGGCTTCACAGGTGAATTTTACCAAATATTCTGAGAAGAACTAACACCTCTCCTTCTCAAAGTATTTTATAAAACCAAAGGGGAGAGATGGTTTCTAAAATCATTTTATGGGGCCAACATTATCCTAATTCCAAAACCAGATAAAGTCACTACAAAAAAAATTTATAGGCCAATATTACTGATGAATATAGAAGCTAAAATCCTCAACCCCCCCCCCCCAAACTGAATACAGCAATGCAGCAAAAAGATCACATGCCATGACCACATGGGATTTAGTCTACGAATGCAAGGTTGGTACAACATTAGCAAATCAATAAATGTAATTCACCACATAAAAAAATAAAGGATAAAAACCACACAATCATATCAATAGATCCAGAAAAAACTTTCAATAAAATCCAGCACCCATTTATGATAAAAAAAAAAAAAAACCTCTCAGCAAAGTGAGAATAAAGGGAACATACCTAAACACAATAAAGACCATATATGGCAAACCCACTGCAACAATATGGATGGACCTGGAGAACATTATGCTAAGTGAAATAAGCCAGTCAGAGAAAGACAGATACCATATGATTTCACTCATATGTGGAATCTAATGAATAAGTGAATTAACAACTAAAACAGAGACAGACTCATAGAGCACATGACAGATAGTAGGGGTAGGGGGAGGTTAGGGGTTGGAGGGATTAAGTAAAAAGGAGAAAGGGTTCATGGACATGGAAAATAGTATTGTGACTGCTGAGGGGAGGGGAGCAAGAGGACTAAATGGTAATGGAAAAAAAGATTAAATGAAAAAAAAAACCAACTTCCATAATGTAATCAGAATTTTTCAGTTAACAATTTATCTCAGTAGTTCTCAAACTTTAGTGTGTATCAGACGTGCTTGGAAGGCTTGTTAAAATAAGGATTTCCTCTGTCCTAACCCGCCTCATCCTGGAGTTTCTGATTGAGTAGTTTATTTTCCTTTCTTTTTTTAAAAATTTTTTTTATTGATTATGCTGTTACAGTTGTTCTATTCCCCCCTTCATTCCCCTCCACCCTACCCTCCCCGTCCCCACCATTACCCTCCCTTTAGTTTATGACCATGTGTCTCAAGTTCTTTAGATTCTATATTTCCCATACTATTCTTGCCTCCCCATCTATTTTCTATCTACTGTCTATGCTACTTATTTTCTGGACCTTCTCCCCCCATCTCCTCCTCCCACTCCCCTGTTGCTAACCCTCCTTGAGATCTTCATTTCTATGTTTCCACTCCTGATCTAGCTGTCCTTTTAGTTTGCTTTTGTTTTAGGTGTGGTTGTTAATAACTGTGAGTTTGTTGTCCTTTCACTGTTCATATTTCTTTAACTTCTTTTTCTTAGATAAGTCCCTTTAACATTTCATATAATAAGGGCTTGGTGATGATGAACTCCTTGAATTTGATCTTATCTGAGAAGCACCTTATCTGTCCTTCCATTCTAAATGAAAGTTTTGCTGGATAGAGCAATCTTGGTTGTAGGTCTTTGGTTTTCATGACTTGGAATACCTCTTTCCAGCCCCTTCTTGCCTGTAAGGTCTCTTTTGAGAAATCTGCTGACAGTCTGATGGGGACTCCTTTGTAAGTGACTGTCCCCTTAGCTCTTGCTGCTTCTAGGATTCTCTCCTTCATTTTAATTTTGGCTAATGTAATTATGATGTGCCTTGATGTGTTCCTTCTTGGGTCCAAATTCTTTGGGACTCTCTGAGCTTCCTGGATTTCCTGGAAGTGTATTTCCTTTGCCAGATTGGGGAAATTCTCCTTTATTATTTGTTCAAATAAGTTTTCCACTGGTGGCTGTGCCTTTCCCCCTTCTGGTCCCCCTATAATTCGGATGTTGGAGCGTTTAAAGATGTCCTGGAGGTTCCTAAGACTCTCCTCATTTCTTTGAATTCTTGCTTCCTGACTCTTTTCTGTTTGGCCATTATTTGCTTTCTTCTGGTCCACTCCATTGATTTGAGTCCCAGTTTCCTTTTCATTGCTATTGGTGTCCTGTGCAATTCCATTCATTTCAATTAGTTTCGCCTTCATATATTTGTCTAATTTGTGGCTATAATCAACCAGTTCTGTGAGGATCCTGATCACCAGTGTTTTAAACTGTGCGTCTGAGAGTTTTGCTATTTCTTCATCGCTTAGATCTATGGGGTGTGGGGCTTTGAGATCTTGCAACATTTTTGGTCTGTTCTGGCCCTTTAAGTGTGAGAAGAGGTGCCTTGGACTCCCAGGTTGCTGGGTTGTGACGCTGTATGTGGGGGCGTGGTCAGAGCGGGGAAATGGCGGCGCCCTCCACTGCTGCTAGCCGCGGGGACCCGCCGGCCCCAGTCCAACCGCCCACTCCCTCGCCTGTCCGCTCTCGCACAAATGGGCGACCACAGTGAACACGCAGCCCCGCTCCCCAGCTGTCTCCTCCGTGGTCGCTCGCCTAGTGGCTCGCTGGGTCGCTCACTAGGTCCAACCCTGCGCCTGGATTCCATGCATCTGGATTCCGCGCCTGAGTCTGTCTGACCGAGTCGTCCTGTGCAACCCCTCACCAGCCGCTGGTTTCGCCCCTTACCGGTCAGGCTGAAGAATTTGTTGTTAACGGACTTCCGAAAAGTTCAATTTTCCGTGTTCTGGCTGTGTTTTCTGTTGCTAATATTTAGTTGTCTCTAAACTTGGTTGTGTGAGAAGGCACGGCACATCCACCTATGCCTCCATCTTGGCGGAAGTCCTATTTTCCTTTCTATAACTTTCCAGGTAAGTTGGATTCTGCTGTTTGGGATGACGCTTTGGAACCACGGGACTTACAAGGAGTTTGTACAATATTTCTGACTTGAAGAAATTAAAAAAAAGCATATAACAGAGAAATCTGGCTTTTCACTTTCTTTCAAGGAGCCCGAAATGGGTGTGCACTTGCATGCATAAACACATGCACATACATGCAAACCAACCTCCTGCCTTACCCTACACACACAGGAACAGAGACTACTATACATCCTGGTTACTAGGAAACATGCCTGTACTAGGGGACACAACACTGTATAATTTCATGCATACCTGAACACCTGAACAGCAAAAGTAGTATCAGGAGCAAATATTTCCAAACAAAACTTACAAAGCATAACAATAACAGCAGCAGCAGCAACAATAACAACATCTAACACTTTCTGAGTGCTTACTACATGCTAGGCACACTTGTAAGCATTTTATGTATTAATTCATTTAATTATCTCAAAAACCCTGTAAGGGTTTAATAATCTACCTTATAATTATGAAACTATTATAATTATAAGGTAGATTATTATTATTATCATTTTTATTTTACAGATGAGAAAACTGAGGCATAAAGATATTATGTGGACTCACTCAAAGTCACACCTAGTAAGCAGAAGAACCATGATTTGAACCTAGTCAGCCTGTTTCAGAGTCCATGTCCTTGAAAGTAATCATCTACTAACCTTTTTTATAAAAGAGTGAAAGGGAGGTAGATTTCAATGACTTCTGAATCTGGAAGGCTGAGGTTGCTTGTGCCTCTGTATTTGCAGTAGAATTTACACGTGTAGTTGACCCTTTTTTCTTTGGGGATCTTATAGGAGAAAGATACCTAGATACATTCAAAAAAAGTCTTTATGTAAGTTTGCTGAAAATAAAACCCCCCTCTCTCTCACAATCACACACCGGCTGTAAACATACACCCAAACACACCTTTTCTATTTAATCTGTTATTCTATACCAAGTTCCTTGAGCACACTATTTAAGCACAAGCCAAAAATATAGTTCAATAAGAAAACTAACCTTGTCATTACCATTTCTAACTCATTTTAATAAATGGCTTTTCCTAGGAATTACTGCCTTATTGGAAAAAAATCTGCAAATTATATATGTTCAATTTTAATAAGTATAGTGGGATTGAGATAATAAAATAAATACCTCCAGCATAAAAGAACAATATATTTTTCCCAAAATAGTGTTGCCATATTTCTTTCCTCTTAAAAATGTTTTATTGATAACTATGGTTCATATATATGGTTAACACTTAACTTATATACACATATATTCATCTAAATTATTTAATAGAGATTTGTATGAATTAATACTTTAGATAAAATTATCAAAGCAGATTTACACCTGTATACTAAATACAGGGTGGGGTAAGAGTAGGTTTACAGTTGTTCATATGGATAACAATACAATAATAAATAATAATGTGAGAATAAACCATGTTTCACATACTCAAAATCGTAAACCTATTTTTGCCCCATCCTGTATGTCAAACATAAACCAAAGAAGGAATTTTAGTAAATACTGTCTCTCAATTTCTCACATTCTGCTCTATGTTGCCCTTTATTTTACAGGATAATCCAAGTCTACTTTCTAATTTTGGTTTAGTAGCTGATAAATAATTCTGAGCAGGAAGTAGGATTTGTACCTTACCATGGATGTTTCTAATACACGCAGTACATTAACTAGTACACTAGGAAAAAGGAATCACCACCATAATGATTTCATACTATCAGCCTTCAATTTCCCTTCAATTCACCACCTGACAATATTGTAGACTGACTGAACTTGGAAAGAATTTAGTTTCCTTTGAGTTCTAGGTACAAATGTTCAATTACCTACTGGACTTCCGTACTTTAATTTCAAAGTGGAGCTTTTGATTTCTTCCCTCTGTTTTTCCCATCTCAATAAATAGCTCTACATTACATTCAGTTTCTTAAGTTAAAAACTAGAGATTATTTTTATTTTTTATTGTTTATTCTATTATAGCTGTCCCAATTTCTTTTTTCCCTTTTGCCCACCCAGTAGAAATTATATTTCATTTCTCTCTTTTCCTACTTCTATACCAATTGAAGAAATCTTCCTCTAAATACATCTGAGATCTTTCCATTTCTTTCTGTCTCCACTGACATACACCTTAGACTAAATCACCTCTATCTCTTACTTGGACTATTAAAATTATCTCCAAAATAGTCTTCCTATTTTTTTTGCCCTATTCCATTCCCTCCTCCAACCCCACCTGTATTTTAAATAGCAGCTAGAAAGTGGCCTTGTAAAAATACAAATTATAGAAAGCTATAATCTCTGCTTAAAACCTTAATGTTTTCCCATTGCCCTTCTAAATTACAAACTCCTTCCCATTGCCTATAGGAACATACAAAGTCTAGCCCAGTTTATCTCTCCAACCTCATCTTGTACTATTCTCTTCTTGTATACCATATTCCAGTGACATTGGGATTTCTTTGTTTCTCAGACCAGGTAAGTCTGATCTGCTGTAGGGCCACTGTACTTGCTGTCTGCTCTGCCTGGAATGTACACCATGCAGATTTCTGCGCAGCCAGCATCCACTTGTTCTTGAGGTCTCAGGACAAATTTCATCAGAAATTTGCTTCCCTAAACATACTATCACTTTCTTAGGTTCTGTCTTTTACCACACTTTTATTTTCCTTATAGAACTTACTATGCTCCCAAATCACCTTATATATTTGTTCACGAGTTCACTGTTTATTTCCTTCCTCCAGAATGTGAGTCCTATGAAGAGCAGGACCTAGTCCATCTTACTTGCCTTTGTATTCCTACTGCTTGGAACAATTCCTGACAACCGCTTTATTGAATTATAGAAAAAAAAGGTTTGACTTACTTATATTAATATATTACCAAGCAAACAAATTTATATGTGAAGGCAGTAGCTGAATAAGTGAGAAATAATTTAGGTACAACTTAGCAGGTTAACAATATCTCTGAACATTAGTCCCTGCACTAATCATAAACAATGTAATGTAAATTCCTATACGGAACTAAAGAGAAACAGTAGGTACATTTCTATCAAAAGCAGTATAGCCAGAATGTTTAAGAACATGGGCTTTGGAGTCAGATTGCTTGGGTTTGATTTCTGTGGACTTCTGGAAAGTTAGTTTATTGCTCCAATTCCTATAGCATAGATAACTTAGGGTGAAAGCAGAATCTTCTCCCTTACAGGGCTGTTATGAAGAATAAATGAAAAAAAAATCTGAAGTAGAGGCAACTGTTTATCACATAGTGAACCCTCAGTAAATGTTAGCTATTGCTCTCTTCTTCCACCATTCTCATATATAATCAACTGTTTTAGTCTCATGCCACACTATTTCCTGTGCCTATCTTATGCTTCACTCCAAATGCACTGATCTAAACTCCCTGAAGCAGGGGTGTCAAACTCATGTTCATCAGGAGCCACATCAGCCTTGTAGTTGTTTTCAAAGGGCACAATGTGATTTTAGGACTTTAGGACTGTATAACTATAACTACTCCTTAACTGTTAGGGAGTTGAAATTACATTCAGCCCTTTGAAGGCAACCATGAGGATGATATGGACCCTGGTGAAAATGAGTTTGACACCCTTGCTCTAAAGAATATTTACTACTTTCCTGGCTATTATGCTTTGGAATTTGTGCCATTATGACTCTTGGAACACTTTTCTGTCTTCTCCCTCCTCTCCAGTTTCTGTGTTGAAATCCTATTCCATCTCCAATATCTGTTAAATTGCCACATCTGCCACAAATACTGTCCTCTTTAAACCAAACCTGAGTGATTTCAGTAGCAGTTTGTACCACTTTATTTGACATTAATTTGTTATGCATTTTATATTCCTGTTTCTTGAAAGCATCAACAATGTCTTATTCAAAATTGTATTGCCTACAGCTCTTTAATATAGTATTTCATATTTTACTATGCTCAAAATATATTTGCAGGTTGAATAAATAATATAATATATATTGAGCTTACATATCTGCTGCAGTATGATTATTCTGGAGAGGAAGGTTGAGAGTACAAGCAGACTCAAGGTGGTCAGCTGATCCTTCTCGGTCCTTTGCTTGTTTAATAAGATCAAATAAAGGTGAATCCTATATGAAACAAGATGACATTAAAACAACATCGGTAAGTATGATTTTCCCATGTACGTGTCAAAAATCATACTTTTTGACATGGTGAGCACTATAAATTTAGTCACAATTGACAGCAGCAATTTAGAAGTCAGAATGAGATTTTTTTAACTTTAAGAATACTGATTTGCCAATTTTGGTACAACACATACACACTAAAGAAATGAATAGGAAAATGTATATCTTTAAATGCTTATATTAGAAAAGAAATTAAAGTTAGAGAAAAAGACACAGAAAAGACCAAGAGAAGGTAAAAAGAAGGAAATAATAAAGATATGAGCAGAATTTAATGAAACTGAAAAAAAGATAAAATATAGTTTGTAAGCAAAAAAATTAAATAAACTTCCCATCAGACTGAATAACAAAAAGAGACAAATAAACAGTACTAGCAACAAAAATTGGGATCATCATCATAAAGATTTGAAAGATAATAGGGAACTGTTACAAATAATTTTATGTCAATAAGCTAGAAGTAGAAAATTCCACAAAAATATAAATTAACAAAATTCAATAAAAAAATATCCACAAGAATCCTGAAACATGCATTCAAAAGAGTGCTGGAAACAGCCTACATGCCCATCAGGAAATAAGTGGATTAAAAAACTGTGGTACGTTTACACAATAAAATAATATGCGGCCTAAGAAATAACTCCTACCCTTCAGGAAAGCATGAATGGAAGTGGACAGCATTATGCTAAGTGAAATAAGCCAGGTGGTAAAATACAAATACCACATAATCTCACCTATAAAGTGGGACCTAACGAACAAAACAAACAAGTGAGCAAAATAGAATCAGAGACATGGAAATAAAGAACTGAAAGTAACTAGAGGTGAGGGTGAAGGGGGACAATGAGGGAAAGAGGGGAAGGGTTGTCAAGGAACATGTATGAAGAACCCATGGACAAAGACAACAGCGGGGGCAGAGGACTGAATGTGGGAGGGGGGTAGGTAGGGCAGGAGAGTGTAACAGGGGGGAAATGGGGACAACTGTAATTGCACAATTAAAAAAGTAAAATAAAATAACCACAATAATCCAATAAACTATTAAATAATTCAAATCAGTAATTTAAAATCTCTCCACAAAGAAATATATCAAGCAACTTTGATTTCACCAGTGATTTCTACCAAACATTCAAGGAATTGATAATTCCACTTTACTTAAAGTGATCTGAGAATGAAAAAAAAAATAAAAACATCCTCCAACTCATTTCATGAGGTTAGTACATTGACTAAAACCTGTGAAGGACATTACAAAAAAGTAAATTATAGATTCTGCTCATATCTTTATTATTTCCTTCTTTTTACCTTCTCTTGGTCTTTTCTGTGTCTTTTTCTCTAACTTTAATTTCTTTTCTAATATAAGCATTTAAAGATATACATTTTCCTATTCATTTCTTTAGTGTGTATGTGTTGTACCAAAATTGGCAAATCAGTATTCTTAAAGTTAAAAAAATCTCATTCTGACTTCTAATAATTCCACTTTACTTAAAGTGATCTGAGAATGAAAAAATAAATAAAAACATCCTCCAACTCATTTCATGAGGTTAGTACATTGACTAAAACCTGTGAAGGACATTACAAAAAAGTAAATTATAACTCATTCACACTCATGAAAAGAGATATAAAAATCCTAAACAAGAAATATTACCAACCCAAATCAGCAATGTTAAACAGATAATCTATCATTATCCAGTTAAGTTTATCCAGGTTGCAAAATTGGTTCAACATTAGAACATCTATAATGCAATTCACCTCACTAATAATACAAGGTGAAAAATCAAATCAAAAACATGCAGAAAGTTTTCATCTTAAAATCCATTTGTAATTTTTTTAAAAAAGAAGGAAACAGTAAACCAGGAAAGAAGGGGTACTTTCTAATTAGATACATGACATCTACAAAATGAACAAAAACCCCATAGCTAACTTCTAAATATAGACAGGCTAATAAATAGCAAAACAGCAATTTGAACTTAGGTGGTCAGGGACCATAGTCTGAGCTTTTACACACTAAAATAACAATTTTTCTACTAACATTTCATTTCTACCTTCTTTAAAAATATATTTTTTATATTTCTACCTTCTTTAAAAATATATTTTCAGGATTATGCTGTTACAGTTGTCCCAATTTTTCCCCATTGCCCCTTGCCTTGCCCCTCTTAGCTGATAATGCTCCAAATGATCATTATATCTATGATACTGTTCCTGTTCTGATAATTTGCTTAGTTTGTTTTTTAGACTGAGTTGTTGATAGTTGTGAATTTGTTGCTGTTTTAATGTCCATAATTTTTATCTTCTTTTTCATAAATAAGTCCTTTAATAGTTCATGTAATAATAGCTTGGTGATGGTGAACTCCTTTAGCTTTACCTGTCTGGGAAGCACTTTATCTGCCCTTCAATTCTAAATGATAGCTTTGCTGGATATAGTAACTTAGGTCCTTGCTTTTCATCATTTTCAATACTTCTTTCCAGTTCCTTCCAGCCTGCAAAAGTTCTTTTGAGAAATCAGCTGACAGTGTTACAGGAACTCCTTTGTAGGTAACTCTGCTTTTCTCTTGTTGCTTTTAAGATTCTCTCTTTATCTTAACTTTTGGTATTTTAATTATGATGTGTCTTGGTGAGGTCCTCTTTAGGTCCAACTTTTCTTTGGAACTCTGTGCTTCCTGAATTTGAATGTCTATTTCCTTCAGCAAATTAAAGAAGTTTTCTTTCATTACTTTTTCAAATAAGTTTTCACTTTCTTGCTCTTCTTCTTTTCCTTCTGGTACCCCTATGATTTAAATGTTGGTACACTTGGAGATGTCACAGAGGCTCAGTAAACTATCCTTGTTTTTCTGAATTCTTTTCCTTTTTGCTGTGCTGATTAATGTTTTTTTCCTTATGTTCCAAATCACTGATTTGATTCTTGGCTTCATCCTCTCCATTGTTGGTTTCCTGTAGATTTTTCTTTGTTTCATTTAAAGTAACCATCATTTCTGCCTAGGTCTTTTTTAAAGCTGTTGTCATATTCAATGAGTTCTTTGAGCTTCCTGATAACCAGTGTTTTTAACTTTGCATCTGATAGGTTGGTTATCTGTGTTTCATTTAGTTCTCTTCCTGGAGTTTTGGTCTATTCTTTCATTTGGGCCCTATTTCTTTGTCTCCTTATTTTGGCTGCCTCCCTCTGTTTGTTTCTGTGCATTAGGTGGAGCTGCTTTGTCTCCCTGTCCTAGTAGGGTGGCCTGATGTAGAAAAGGCACCTGTAAATTGTGTGGGACAGTCTTAGGTAATTGCCAGGGTGGGCAACCTATTTTCCTGCTTTTTGACTCTGTGTGGGAGGAGGACTCAGAGAAGAAACAATGCTACTGCCTAACTTCTAGAAGTTTGTCCAAGAGGAAGCTGTCTCTCAGCACTCATCCTGTTCCAGTCACTTCACTTTCTCCCTGTATGTGACTGGTGCCCTTCCGGCTGTTGCTGGAGTTGAATCCCAGAGGGGGTGGGTATGTATAAGTCCTAAATTCATACAGGCCCTTTAAGAGGAGTCTCCTGAAAATCCTGCAGTTTCTTCTGCTGCCCCAATCCCCACTGGACTTTACAGCCAGAAGATATGGGGATTTATCCTCTTGGCACTGGAACCTTAGGCTGTGTGGTCTGGCCTGGGGCTAGGATTTGCTCCTCAGGTATCTCTTGAGATTTTTATCTACCACAGGTGAAAATGGGACTATCTGTTCTGCCACTTCATTGCACCACACAGTATCTTGCACTATTCCACCCCATCTCTGGATCTTCTCTCCTCCTACCTGTCTGGATGAATGTGGCTTCTTTAAATCCTTGGTTTTCATACTTCCATACAACTCAATTTTCTAACAGTTCTGGGTGATATTTGTTTTGTGGTCTAGTTGTAATTTTTTCCGTAGTTGTGTGATGAAGTGAAGCATATTTACCTATGCCTCCATCTTTACTGGATGAGTTGTGTTGTTCTATAATGCCAATAATATCAGCCAGGTAAAGCAGCTGCTCCCAGTCATAGCCAGCCAGGCAAAATAGCCACCCATTAATTTTTTAGTATAATAAACAGCAGTAGTTAAACAAGTAAATAATCTTCTACTAGAAAACCACACAAGGTCATACTTATCTAACCAGAGATGAGTATCTCCACTTTCTACAACATTTCACATAATTTACTAAATAATAAGAGCTTATATAAAATATTTTCCATTCCAGGGTAACCATCTGGTTTAATAACTATAGAAGCATATTATATACTTAATATGTAATTTACATCAATAAATTATTAATTAAAATGATAAAATAATTTACCAGATAAGTTTATAAATTAGAAATTATAAGTTATAATGTGTTAATATTATAACATATTTGAATACAAAAATATAATGATTAAATGAGTCTCCTGATTATACTAGACAATTTCTATTATAAACAGACCAAAGTTAAGGGTTTGAAGTACTGCTTTGAAAAACAAACTAGTTAAACTTTAGAAATTAAGCAAAGTAGGCCCTAAATTCTAACTAGATTTTTATTAAAAGTGATCATTTTATCAGATCCAAGATGGCAACAGAGTAAGTGGAAGTTAAAACTCACCACTTCCCAGGAACAAACTGGAATTACAACTAAATTATAGAACAGTCAAACTGAATAATCAACTGAAAAATAGCTAAAGAGAAGTCTTATAACCAAGGATTTACAGAATAAGCTACATCAAGACTGCTCCAAACAGGTTGCCAAGGGCTAGTCACAGGCAGCATCTGATACTGGTCTATATCGGAGTCTCTCCAAAGAGGAGGGACCAGAACCAGCATACCCAGTGCCCAGATTCAGACATCAGAGCAGAATCCAATAAGCTTTACAGGAAGTGTATCTAAAGAGAGATTTCAACAGGCACCAAATCTTGCTGAGGCGAATTCTGCTCCATGTGGTCAGCACCTGCACAGCATCTCACAGGCTGTGGTAGGGGTTGAACATCA